GGGAGTTTGTAATTGTCAGGGAAACTCGCATTGCCATCAACAGTTGTTTTGTTATAGTGAAGACAGTAAGATTGAGTTCTTAATCAGGCTGAGCTAATGAAAACAGTTTCCAGCTGTTTTTTTTTATTCTTGAGACCTACAATTATCTAAATACATGATGTCTGCTGAGCTATTTCTGGTTGCTATTTTATCGTGTAACATTAGCTGGCAAAAACGCACTCTGTTATTATCTGAACTTGTGTGCTCTGAAGCCTTGTGTGCAAGACAAACAGTGGAAATGAGCTTTTTTGTGAAGATTTCAGCGACGCCAACATTCTTTAGTACCTGTGCAGCCTGAAGAGACAGTCTTACCCTGTTAGTCTTCGTAGCTCGCTTGCAACTGCTTCAAGAAGTTTGTTGCATCGTCTTTGACAATCGCCCTTTTTCTTACCCAGGACTATGTGTGTAGGAGCTTCTTGAAGGACAGGTGTTAGAAGTGGTAACCACAAAAAAAAAAAACCACCAACCCTTAACTGATGTGTCTTATTTTCTTTTTTTTTTTTTAAAGGTGAGAAACCTTATCACTGTGACTGGGAAGGCTGCGGATGGAAGTTTGCCCGATCCGATGAACTTACTCGTCACTACAGAAAACACACAGGCCACCGCCCTTTCCAGTGCCAGCGGTGTGACAGAGCGTTTTCCAGGTCGGACCACCTCGCCTTACACATGAAGAGGCACTTTTAATTGGAAGCAGTGGATCTTTCCCCAGCTGCCGTAGAGATTCAGTATTTACAGCACAAGGGACTGTCTTCCGCGAGATGGGGAGAACGCAGTTTAAGCACTACAGATAATCAAGGTGAAGTCTTCCAAAGAGTGGAAAAGAGGGATAATTGCATACAGACGTTGCAACCTTTTTTTTTATATATATATACCTTCAAAAGAAAAGAGAACCAAAAACATTGGGGTCAATGACTGGATCTTCTATCATTCCATTTGTAAATCCAACTTGAATTATTTCCGGACTACAAAATGCCAAGGAGTGACTGGAAGTCACGGATATCAGGGTTAAACAGACTGTGTGTAGTTCGGAAGGGTGGGGATATTACACAGGGAAATTACATTCCCTTAATTTTCTTTCAATGCAATATTAGATGTAAATGTCATCTTGTACTTTCCTTTTTTTTTTTCCTTCTAAAAGCCATTACAATGTTAAAAGAGGAGGAAAAATTCAGGTACAGAATTATATTTTAAAAGCCTGTTTCATGGTGCTTAGTGACTGTTGGTTCTAGAGGTACCAAAACCAGGAAGCCAAAGTTCTCAAACTGCTGCATATCTGACAAGGAAATACCTAAATCAGGTAAATAAACCTGGTTTATCTTTTCTTAAAGAAAATAACTTTATGCAGACAGTCTGTAATGCACTGTGGTTTCGATGTGCAATAGTTTGTACAATGGTTTATTCCCAAATATGCCTTAAGCAGAACAAATGTTTTCTATATAGTTCTTTACATAATAAATATGTAATATAAAGTTAAGCAAACTTCTATTTTGTATATTTGTAAAATACGAAGTAAAAATGAACATTTTGTTGGAATTTGTATTTTGCATATTCAAGTGGAAAATAAGTTTTAAATAAACCTATAATATTTTATCTGAACGGCTTCTCTCATTTTCTTCTGTGCGTGGATACGTCCAAAGAAAGCTTTTTAAGTATTTGGTAGCGGTTGAGTTTCCCCAGGCAAAAAGGGGGTGGCAGCGAAGGTTTGTAGTCTCAAGGCTCTGAAAGATAGGATCGTGTAAGTGCAGTGCTGATGTTAAGACATCTTTTTAGGGAAAAGGGTGTACTGAATTTTTTTTGCTCTGAATATCAAATTGCCACTTGTCTCACCTGCATGATGAAACTCTTAATTTACCATTTTTAAGGTAACTGTTTGAATTATTTGTTTGAGGAAATAACATCTGGTGGGGACATTAGACTTTGCATATTCAGAGATAACAAACTCTAGAATTTCGGCATGAAAAATTTCTAGCTTCATTTTCTTGGGCTTCTCAGATGAGCTGGTGTAACCGCCTCCATGCGAGTGAAGGAAAATCGACTGAGTAACATGACAAAGAATAAACTTGACTCAAGGAATAAAGAGTGCGTGCATAAAACGCCTTCTAAACTATATAAACTACATGGAGGTTCTTTTGAAGCCTGCGCTATCCTGGGAATTCAGTAATTCGGCAGTATCTGAAGAGCCAAAATTCCTGTAGGAATCCTGGTATGCATACATAACTTGGGAAGGCTGACCTTGCAGAGGCTGCAGACCGTGAGGCTGTACGTTCGAGCTGTGCTGCTGCAAGGTCCCCAGTGCACCTTCAGTTGCACTCGCTCTGCTGCAGTTCAAGGCAGGGAGCCTGCTGCATGCCCCAGGTTGTTCCCCTTTTTTGTCATAGCTGCTGTCCTTAGGGACCTCGTTGCTCTAGTTTCTTTACAAATGTGTAGCAATAAGATGATTTCAACGTGAATGCTTGATGAATAGGGACCTGTTTTTCTCACCACTCTTTGTAAAGAAAAGAAAGAAAATTATTCCTCTTCCACTGGTTTAAAATGTCAGTCAGCTAGGAATTTGGATATAGGTAATGTTCAATAAAGCTGAGCATGGAAAACAAATTACAGGCAAGAGCCATTCATATTTTTGCAGTAGTTAAAATAAGAGTGGCGATACCAACTTTTTGTTCCCAAATGCGCCTTAGGAATGCTATTAAATTTCACATTTTGATGTGTTCTTTGTGCAGTGCCTGGGCTGTTTTCTTTCTAAGTCCGTGTAAGTAATATAATGATGCAGAAAATACTTCTCACCCCTTATCTCCTAGGCATGCTTTGTTCAACTGAAAGCTATCTTTGTTGGTTTGGTTTATAGGTAACACGGGTAGTAGGGAATGCCTTGTTTGGTTTGCAAATAGCAAGTATTTAAGGCTAAATTACAGTTATGAGTCATCCTTTATCTGAAGCTTTTTTTCACGTGAAAACTTTTTACAGTTAAACCAGTCATTTTTTACCTCCTCTGTTGCTCTGCTTGTGGATTCTGGATGAGGGATCCAAGGTCAATGCTGCCACTGGCACATAACCGTGTGCCTGAAGCGTGTTGTCCTGTCTTGAGAATGCTGGAGCATGCTTGGGGAGCTGTAGGATCACCCCTCTCTGTATGGCTGCCATTCCAGAACCTTTTACATCTGTGCAAGGTTTACGGTCCTAACATACCCGCAAGTACGGAAATCTGGAGATTCCATCTGAGAAACTTGTTCCTTTTGCTTTTTGAGTGTTCTGTCTTTATGCAGCCTTCAGAATTTTGTAAGATGCTCTAGCATTTACTAATGCTTTATCTGCTTCTAGCCAACTTCAGTTTCTGCTTGATGGTTTTATAGACCCTAGGTTTATAGTTGCACGAACAATGGCATTCTTGAAACAGGGCTTTGTTCTCTTCTCCTGCTTGATTTTTTTTTTTCCCCCTTTTTCTGTTTTTCCTGATCCTAACCAAGCTGTCCCTCATGCATGACTTTTCTACCCAGACCTAAACGGGCACGGTTGTAGCTTGGTATTCAAAAAGAAATGCTGCTGTTCCTTTAACCATTTCCAAAATGCTACTCCTATACTTTTGCTCTGGTAAATTAGGCAGAGCTAGGAACAGCACACTGTGTTCGCCACCTGTTTCATTGTGCCTAGCGTCCTGGAGTTGCACTTAGGTGCAAGACTGTACATGGATGCAGTGCAACAACACATGTATCAAAAAGCCTATCTCGTAAAACATATGTAAAACACCCAGCAATCTTGTAAGGGTGTCTTGAAAAACGAGATTTGTTCAGCATTGCTAAAGGTATATTCATGTGCCTCTGTGCTCAGGCTGGGGCATCTAAAAACAGGGTTTGAGGCTATTATGGGTGGCCTCTCTGACGTGGGGTGAGCACCCCCAAAGCTGCCCCAGAGCACTATTTTAGCTACCGAAGTGAAAAGCTCAGTGGCAGAGGAAGATCTCTGCGGTCAGACTACAGCCATCCTTAATCCCGCTCACCCCTAGCCCAAATCTCTCTCAAGCACACTTAACGTGTGAAGATGGAGCTGTTTAAAACAAGATGGCACATGTCTGCCTACCAAGTGCCAAGTATTCAAAAATGGCATCGGAATAAAAAGCTTCTCAGAGCTGCAGCACTTCTGTGTGCTTGTCTTGCTGCACACCACAGGCTGGAAGTTTGCACACTTCAGACTTGGTCGTTGATCGTAATCCAGCACAAACGCCTTCAGCTTTCCCCTGTCGCGTGAAGGTGCACTTGCAAGAGAGTTGCTCTTCCCCCGTGGAGGTTACTGGATCCTGCCACTGCTGAAGTCAACTGCGAATCTCACGAGGATTCGTATTAAGCTGATACGAATCAGTGAATTTCGTTCTCCTTCTCTTTAATAAGGGGTGATCAGACTCCTGCGGTTAATCACCCCGAGTGCTAACGGTTCGACCGAATTAGTTTACACAGGTTTCCTATGGGAGTGTGCTAGACGTTCAAGCTAGCCTGCTTCCACTAAAGTCCCTGGCAAACACTTTCAATGGCACTTGAGTGCGAGAATTTCCCAATTAACCCAGCTGCAAACTGTGTTCCTCCCTAGGCTTTCCTCCTTCCTGAGTGCGATGGGGTTGTGTGCTCCAAGGCAGCAGAAGAATGGGAATGGGTTGCCAATGTGGACGGACAGGCCAGTAGTTACAGTATAGGGCTCTGGCAAGGGTCTGGACGAGGTAGGGGTGCCAGCTGGAGGAAGTAAACCCCAGGTATGGTGAGCAAAACTCACATGGAGAGGAAGAGGAACACCACTGCCACTGGCGCATCTTGACTCGTACTTGCCAGGAGAGCTCCCCAGATTAAACAGCTGTGTGAAGGCTCAATGGATATATCTTTGGAGACCAAGGAGATGAGTATGTACATAAAAGAGGGGAAGGCCCATCATTCACCGAAACTTAATTGAGGTCACATTGGCTTGGAGCCACAGGGTAACACACCCACATTCCCCTGTCTGCCGTATGGCTGGATGACTCACGTTTCGTCTGCCCTTCACTCCTCCTGTGACTTATGGGGGGACATTTTCGTTACTACTGAGGGCATTGCAACCCAGTGCAGAAGTCATCTCTGCGGCATGGAAGTGGGTGGTGGTGGTGGTGTTTCCGCAGCCTTGTTCTCCACCCTGTCTGCATAGAGGTTATCTGTTAGTCTCCTTTTCACCTTTGGATGCTTACCCGTGAGCTCTCAAGGCTCGAACCTTCGTGGTGTGAAAGACAGGAGGGGGGAAAGTGGCTTGTGCTTTATTAATGTTTATTCTATGTTTAGAGCATGCATGCCCAGAGTTTTACAGAAGACACGTGGCCCTAGTCGCTGCTCACAAGAGGTATTAGGCAGCTGTACCTTTTCCCTCCGGTGATGCTTTCTGGACTCTTGGAGCTGTGACTCCTTCTGTAAACCAAGATGGTGATTTTCGCATGGACCCGGTCTGCTCGGGGTCAGCCTTGTGATATGCTTATTAACAAGACGTTTTAAGGGAACACGCCAAGCTCCTTTCATTCTGAAGCTTGGGTGAGCAGAAGGGTAATCGTGTGCTGCTATCACCACAGCCATCTTGCTACAACTCTGAGAAGTTTTGCATGGTTTTGCTTTGGGTACAGCGTGCTTGTTTATCAAGCACAAGCTAAGGCTTGCTTAAACCTTGCCATTCAAGTTCTCCGCTATTAAACTTTCAGGCTTTATTCAACAAAATGATGCAGCTTCCCTGTATTGGTTGGCTGAAGACCCTTAATTTTAGAAACAGATATCCTGCAGTTATTCAGAACGATTTCCCCCACTGCCACAGTGGTTAGACATGGTCTGACAAGAAACCTTGCACCACCAGCATGCAGGGGTTTATTTACTGGGAGCCTCCTCGATGCTGTTGAGTGTCTATTTGCGCATGTCCTAGTGTCGATGCCTTCATGGTTGGCAGGAGCAGAGTGTCATGTCTGCTTTGTCCTCCCACCCCTAGAAAGGTGTGGGAAGGCTCTCCGATTTTGCTGGCCTGGGGAAGTGGGCTTGCAGTTGCCACATGAAAAAACTTGCCTCCCCAGGCTTTTGCCACTGGCTTCCATGTGTCCGCCATGTGCTTCCTGCCCTGTAGAAATACTGCTGAGAGGGCTTTGCTCACATGTACGAAAAACTGTTTCTTGAGGTTCCTGTGTGAGTTGGACTTGCACATTGGGCCTTTGGGACGGTGCCTTGGCGTCAGCGCCGTTTGATTTCCAGATCTCAGATGGAGTCTTCCAGCACAAGGGATTGCCTGGGGACTTAGCG